GGTGTTCCAGTAAGAAGTAGCAAGAATTCCCCTCAAAGCTGTAATGTGCTTACGGTAATCTTAAGGTATGCAGAGCATGGTTGCAGAACATTACCACTTTATTCCCATAAGCTGTGTGAATGGCAATCTGCACTACCTTTGCCTGAGTATAGTATAGTTTCACTTTAAAGCTTGTTCTGGTGCGAATTCTGGTGTTGACGGGATTCGTTGGGAAGCAGTTTGGCTTGTTTTCAAAGCCATTCATCCAAATGGCATGAGCTAATAGCTGCCCAGGGGATTAATCAGCCAGTGTACAAATGAAGTGCTGCTCATCTGTTTCCGATTCAGATTTCGTATCTGCGGGAATATGGGATAAAGGGTACTTTAGAACAGAAATCTGGAGAAAGCGCGTGTTGCTTAAAGCGAATGTGCTGCAGCCTGTCAGAGAGCTGTCCCTTTATATGCACCGCCAGTACCCTCACTTCATACTTGTAAAACCCACTGTTCGTTTGGGAATAATAAGTGGTACAAGGAGTGCTGTTTGGGTTGTAACACTGTTAAGTGGGTGAGTCGGTGAATTGGGAGTTCCGCCGGGTGGTTAGGCCACCCTGTACGCGCATCGTGGGCGCAGTGAAGACGTGGAATTCAGTGACTCTGACCCTTTGGATTCGTTTTGCTCAAGAAAATCGCGTTCTTTTCATACGTGGGCTTCTTTTTATCAAGTTATGGAGGGTGTATGGCCTGATCGGAACACTTGCCGCACATGCGATGATCCAATCCACAATCTCGTATATATGCAGGGCTTGCTTTTCCTATTAGGTAGAGAACTATTAGGTAGACTGAACACGGTGCCCCCCTCAAATTCCATACCATATGGTATGCTTTGGGCGGAGGTGGTGCAATGGCAAGTTTTCCGCTTCTCACGTGCGCTGTTCGGGGATCGCATCCGGATCGACTCCCACCTGAACCATCCATCCAGCCCGTGAACTTTTACTTGTACATCGATGAGCCCTCGGAAGTCATTTTATAGGCCAAATCGCTTTCAACTAAGTCGCTACTATTCTGAATGGAAGTAGAATGCATGCCGCATTCCAGAAAGAAATCGATCAAATGCTGAAGCTTTATCCATTACCCTTTCTTGGCCGGCTCCTGCAGAATGGTATAACCATAGCCAGTTCCTCGAATCACGTACGCACGATGTATGGTCAAATCGTAGGGTTCTTAGGTAAACCTTACTAATACAAACCAAACCTCTTGTCGAGCATTTTTCCTACTTCGCTGGGTCAATTGATAGCAAATTTATTCGCAAGGAACGAAACACTGGTGTATTTATTGCTTAATTATGGCAAGTCACAGTGATTGCATTCAAACGGAACTACGATTCTTAGTGGAAGTAATACGCATGGCGTGTCCAAAGAGGACCTTAGGCGGGATTGTTCACTGAACCTTCCAATGTCATAGAGGATTTCCGTAGAGATTCAGTAGTTTTCCTTTAATGTGAGCGATTGACCTCTTTGAAGTAGTTTTGCTGATCACTTCGGTAAACTCAACGTTTTGGTTCTACACTTATTTGAGCTAGTCAATGACTCTTTTGCAGACTCTTCTATAAACAATTTTACAAGGATACCGCACTCGCATGGAAAGCGTGAGGTGCGGGTTCGACTCCCGCCTGGGGCACGACTTTTGCCCATAACTCAGCATTCTTGTGATAACTTTCGGAACGCGACTGTTTCGTAAAACAGCAGTTTTCATAACAAAACAAGTTCTGCAAGGGTTCTTGAGCAAAAGGCCAACGAAGGCTTTTTTTCGGAAATGTTATCATTGAACTCGCTCGAGAAAATCTCATTTGCTGAGCTTTTTCTGAGACTTGGCGTCATTGATTTTACAAAGTGCAATTCGCCAGCTGACAATTGCCTTCTTTTTGCAAGGGTGGATTCGGAAATTGCAGCTGTTCACGTGATACTTTTGCAGAAAGGAACTAATGAAAAGCACAATTGTAGGAGAAGGTAGAGAACAGTCGTAGGGATGTTTAGGCTAAACCGATGTCGAGGGAGAGCTCACAACAAAACCGCATGAGCTTCAATGTGACCTTTTTGCGTAGCTCGCTCTGGGAGCATCATGTTAGAAGCAGACTGTGCCTACAAATTCAAATTTCCTCCTCTGATCCCTTCAGATCTTCCAGCTGCCTTGTGGACGGATTGGCCGTAAAAACAGCTCCTTCGCTGTCAGTTCCACATGCCCCAGCTCTTCCAAACTGAGTTCCGGTGGACATCCAAACCTCACTCCGTCCTCAAAACTATAGTCTCCCCTTCGAGGCATTGGCGTTGTGGAAGAGTGTTCGGTAGCGGTGGACATGGTCCTTCTACATCTCCTTCAAATAGGCCTCAGATGCTCTTAAGTGTCTGAGCTGGAGTAGTAGATGAAAAAGTTGAGGAAGTCGGCGCTGAGGCGGAGCGAAATTTTTGTCCATATTGCAAAAAAAAGAAGTAGATAACAAGTGGTACTGGGAATGGTATTATCTTGAGTACTTAAGTTCGCATTACACTCACAGCTCACATCTCCTCAGACTGAGGAGCATTTTGTGTTTACAAAATATGACAGAATTCTCTCGCCCAACTTACTATCTCAATATTTCTCATACCTCTTTCCAAAATATGAAATAGGAACTTGACAAATTGAAAAAAGTGTGGCTTAACAAAAGTGTTGTTGAAAAAAATGGTAAAAAAATGACTATCAGTGACCAGTATTTGAAAAGGTTATGTGGCAAGACACAGCCGTAGTTAGCCGTACTCACGGGCGTCGCGTGCGACGTTGCGCTCACAAAGACGAGGTTTCTGGATCGTATATGGGGACAACAGGCGTGTAGATCCCGAAAGTTGTCATAAATTTCTTTCATGTCGTGTCTCATGGGATCCGGTGCTCCTGCTGACAGGTTATGCGGCTGAAGCAGGGCACAGCATTACGATTCACAGTGACCTCCCACGACGAAGTCAGTGCTGTTCATTACCCCTTACGACTTCAGAGGCGTTATGTAATTACTTACATTTTCTCTGCAATGTTAAAAGAGGCGACGGTCTAAAGGGCGACTGTTTTGTCGGCCTCAGTATGTAGCATACTATACTATCGTGCTCAGGGCTTGCGTGTTAATCCTGCCCATCTCAATTACTAAATAATGCAGTCCGTGAATTCTGCATTTCGTTGCCATGCTACCGATCTGCTGGCTAAGTTTTTATGATTTCGTGATTAGGCAGCGTTGAGAGCAACCATGCGACAAGCGCTTGGTGCTCGATTAAAAGGGATAAAGGGAGGGATTCATCCGAAGGTGACAGGATTTTACTAAGCAGCTTTATTTTAAGGGTTATCAAGTCTGTATAAAAATGTGAAAATTTGGCATGTGAGGGGACCCATTGGTCACAAACACATGCGAGGTTGTAAGTAAGGTTGATACGATTTAAGTAGCGAGTTCAGGCGGTCCGTAGATTGCAGAGAATTTTAAAGAAGAATGAAGAAGAGGGAACTCGGAGACTGGAAGAAAGGGAAAAGTAGAGAATGGAAAAATGCTGCATTTTCATGACTTACCATTAGTGATTGATGAATTGTAACAGAAAAAGGATATTTCTACTGACATCTGTGATATAGTTGGGAATTTCAGCGACTTCAATATTTTGCCCGGTATGATCGATTTTTCCGTACATGATGTGAAACTGGACACTCGAATTACCCGAAATATACGGATAAAGGCCCCGCTGGTCTCGTCGCCGATGGATACAGTCACAGAAAGCGGAATGGCTATCGTGATGGCGGTAAGTATGAACTACTTGAGCAGAATATAACGAGCCTGCGATGAAGAACTGCGTGGTACGA